AATTTTTAAATTCCATTTTCTTCATGAACTTTCAGAGGCCCTCTTATATCCCAATGAGTCGGATTGCTGGGTAATAGGATAGTTCTATGTCTAATTTTTTTAGTAAGTGCCATGTTGTTTTCCATAGTGGTTGTATCATTTTACAATCCCACAAGCAATGGATAAGGGATCCATTCCCCCCAGAGCCTCACCAACATTTGTGCTCCTTTTTTCTAGAATCAGTGTCATTTTCACTTAGGTGAGATGGTGTCTCATTGTAGTTTTGATTTGCATCTCTGTAATGTTCAATGATCATGAGCATCTTTAATTGTTCGTTAGCTGCTTAGAGATCTTCTTTTGGTGAAAGTTCTGTTAGTGTCTTTTGCCCATTTTATAATTGGACTGTTTGTCTGTTGTTGAGTTGTTGAAATTTACTATAAATTTTAAAGATTAGATAGACTTTTATCAGATATATCATTTCTAAAGATTTTTCCCTATTCGGTAGGTTCATTTTTACTCTTTTAGTCATGTCTTGTGATGAACGTAAGTTTTGAATTTTTTATGAGGTTCAATTACCTATTTTGTTTTCTTCTATTCATGCATTTGTTGCTATGGTTGATAGTCAGTTTTTACAAAAGATTAGGTCTTACTGTTTTCTCCTGGGCATTTTATGGTCTTAGGTTTAAGATGTAGCTCTCTAATCTATTTTGAGTTCGTTTTGTGTATGGTGTGAGGTATGGGTCCTGCTTTGTTTTTCTGCAAGTGGGTATCCAGTTTTGCCAACACCATTTATTAAAGAAAAGGTTTTTGTCCCATGGAATGGGATCGATGACTGGTTTAAATCTGAACTCAGAATTCTGTTTCACCTCTCTACAGTACAGACCTTTTATCTTGGCTTGTTTCATCTAACCTAAAGCTTTTGAGAAATAACCAAGATGCTGACTGTATGTTGACTATGGGTGATGAGAGCCGACCCACCCACCTTCTTTCCAGTTTTAGGAAGAAAACATTCAGTCTTCTGCCATTGGTATTCTGCTAGCTGTAGGGTTTGTTGTAGATGATCTTTATCAAGTTGATGAGGTTCTTTTCTTGCTGTACGTTTTGTGTTTTTTTTTAAATCAAGCATAAATTGGTGTTGGGATTTCCGAATTCTTTTTGGCATTGATTGATTAAATCATATGTTGTTGTTGTTTTTTAAGTCTGTTAATGTGGTGGATTATATTCCTGGAATAACCCACCTTCTCTGCCTTTCCATGATTAAGGTGTATAATTCTTATATGTTGTTGGATTCTATTTGGCAACATTTTGCTGAGGATTTTTGTGTCTGCTTTCATTTGGAAAATTGTTCCCCCAGGTTTTTTCCCCCCAAGTTGTTTCCCTGTAGAACAGTATTTGGTATCAGGGTAACATTGGCCTCTATTTCCTGGGACAGTTTTTGACTCCTACAGGTCCTCGCTACTCCTGTCTCTGCCACTTCTACCACAGGATTGGTTGTGAGCTTCAACAGTGGAAAAGAAAAGAGCAAAGACACATGGAGCCCTCCTTGGTCTCCCTGAGATGGAACTAGAGGGCTTCCCTGGCACTCTGTCTGTCAGCACTGAGCCCACTTCTGCCTCAGTAGGGGATGCTGAGCTTTTTCTGAGGGCTTCCAGAGAAAAAAGAATGGAACACTCACTACCAATTAAGTGGCACTGAATTCTGATCTGTTCAGGGTTTGTAGTTGTATTCAACAGGAAAGACAGAGTAGAGTTTTACCAGAACCGGAACATGATCCCTCTGGGTGTTTATAACAGGTATCAATGACATTTGTTGAAAGAGAAAATGAATGAGATGTAGAGGACCTCTCTTGAGCCCCAGACCTGCATATCTAACAGCCTCCAAACCTTCTGGAAGGAGGGGACTAACTGCTAACTAAACCAGCAGCACCCGAGCTGAACCCCTTCTTCTCCCACTAACACCCTCGTCTGTGTCACCAGCTGAGCTGCAGCCTCTCATTGGCTGCAGGAACCTCTGACCTTTACCTCCTCCCTTCAGTGAGTTTTCCAGGCACAACAGTTCCTCTTCTGTACTGTGGATTCCATGGTTTCTACTTCTCTACTCTCAGCCTCGCCTCCCTAGTCTAATGGAACAGCCAGAACCATTGGTGACAGCAGAGCTCAGAACATGGGAGGAACCAGGAAAGGGTGTGACTTTGAACTGCCCGGCAGCCAGGGGCTGGGAGGTTAGAGCACTGGAGTGCGGCCCTCCCTGAACCCTGTGAAACACTGGCCCAGGCCGGCATACTCAATCCCACACATGGTGTATAAAGTTGACCACCACTCCCTAGGGAACGGAGCCAGGCCACGCTTCACTGAGCCTTACCCTGGGACTAGTAACAGCCTCTACCTGCTCTCCCTCCTCCTCTGTAGACGGCATTCTCTACTCTGCGCCAGGTCAACACATCCCAAAGAGCCACCCTGACTCTGCTTCCCTCTGCTCAGACAGAGCTCCCAACTGCCTGCCACTAGTATCTTCACCTTCCCACCCACTCACCCTCAACTTTCCTCCACTGGGCCATTCCCTGGGCTGCAGATCGGTCCCTTGCTGTCTCATCTCCCTCTGTACCTCTTCTACAGCATTGCATCTGCCTGGAAGGCCCTCCTACTACACAGCCACCTGCCAAAGTTGTGTCCTTCCAAATAGTTCTCTAATGCAGCTCACTCTGCTTCTCGGCACCCCCTGACCATGCTGGCATGTTCATTACTGACCACTAGCCTCTCTATACGCCCTCTTAATGCACTGTAGCCACTGTCCCTTAGATCTCTCTGCTGAGGCTGTCAGGGCCCTGAAGGCAGGTGTGCTCCACAGTTGCTCAGCCCCAACAGTGCCGGCCCGTAGGTCTCAGTAACCAACTGAGTCCAAGTGAATCAAACCAGAGCATGTGGTACAATGTGCCACCTCCAGAAGGCCTCAGACATGGGGGTTGGGGGGAAACACGTGATATGAGGAACCATGGCAAGGTGTTCTTGTAAATGGGAGAGTACCCTTCTGAGACTTTGCCTGTCTGCTTTTCCCTCAGTGGTAAGACTTTGAGGGTCAGGAAATAGGAACCAGCCTCACGGAGCAGGATTCTGAGGGTGCAGGCTGCCGCTGACCCAGAGAGTGAAGCTGCAGGATGCAGGATAAGGGAGCTGATACCGCTTCCTGCCAGTTCCTCTCCTTGTGCAGCACTGACCAGCTGACCAGCAGGCCCCCATGTCCAGATGACAGATGTGTCCCTGGACAGGGTGCTTATGGAGTGATATTTACCAGAGTCTCTGTGTAGAGCCTCTGCCCCCCAATGGGGCTTTTCCAGCCTCTGGCTGCTGAAGCTCTTGGGCCCGAGATGAATGACTCTCCTTCCTGTTTGCCACAGGATGGCAGCGTGGGGACCTGTCTAACCCTGAGAAGTTCCCTGGTTTCCCTTGCTCCCCATATCCATCCCGTGATTCCCCTAACCAGACCCCAGCAAGGTGAGGCCTAGAGTCCATGAGAAGAGTCTGCCTACCAAAGACCCCAAGAACAGGGTTCTAGCTCTTGGGCCGAGCCATGTGGCTTTTCCGAGCCTCTGTTTCCTCAGATGTGAGTTAGAAACAAGGAGAGCCACCTCACGAGGTTGTCGTTCAGATACAGCTAAGGCCTCCCTCATCCCTAAGCCACTCATCCATCCAGCACTATGCCCAGTACTGTGTGTATGGAGGGTTGCTTCAAGAGGGTGTCTAAGGAGAAAAGTAGTCGAAGGACTAGGCCTCCACCAGCCCATTGAGCCTGGTTCTTCGGTGAAGGGCATGGCTGGCCAAGCAGCCTTACCTGTGTGCTGGCCCGGGGCTGCTCTTCTCTAGGGCTCCAACCCCATGGAATCTTCCTCAGTGATGGGGCATTTGCTGACCTTCAGGAGGGGAAGGATGCCGGAGTCCAGATGTCAATAGCTATTTACCAGGGTTTGCATCACACACTGTGTGTCATCTGGCTTCAGAGCCACCAGTGAGGAGCCCTTCCCTTCTCCACGTTGTAACCCAGATGTTACCTGCCGTCTGAAGCAGATCATGTTTGCCTTCATGGAACTCGAGTCTCCATGCCTCTTGGTTCTCAGGACAGGAGGTGCAACCTACACAACGCCTCCCCATCCCAGAGACAGTCTAGGAGTCTGTCTTCTGGCTCTGATTCCCTGGAACTCTCCACTCTCCCATATTGATCCTGGCCAGCAAGAAACATGACAGGAAGTTGTCCTGTGGACTGCAGCTGTTCTGTGGACTAGATATTACCCAGTATGCGTCCTGGATTTGAATGTGATTATGATGCCGAAAGAACACGAGGGCTCACTCCACTTGGAGGATTTTCTTGACTGAATCTGAAATGGTTGTGAGGTGTGATATGGAGGAGGAGGAGGATGGCGAAGGGCGGTCCTCCCATGTTGTTCTTGCTCTCCTCAGAGCACACTGCTTGTCTATGCCATTTAATCAGCCTTTCATCATTTTAATCATGACAACCTGTTAAAGCACCCCTGGGTGCTGCTCTTCATTTAAAACCCACTGTAAGATATTTGAGTTCAATCTGACGTGGGGAAACAGGAGCAAAGATGCCAGGCCCCAGCAGCCACACTCCTCAGCTTGCTTTTCTCATGGCGCTCACTCACTCTGGCCTCACAGCCCCTGTGACTGTGTGTTTGTGTGTGTGTGTCTCAGCATCTGGAAATGCCATGTGACCCTGTGGGCTCCCACACATAGCACGGTGGCTGCACAGAGCAGGTGCTTAGCTCCCTGGTGTCTGGAGTGGAATGGGCTGGAGTCCGTGATGAGCAGGTGACCACACTGACAGGTCCACTTCGGCTCTGCTCTGAAAGGACAGCTGCTAGCTCACCAGACACAGCAGGCCCTCTGAGCACCTGATGTGCTGGGCCACGTGCAGAGCCACGTGCAGAGGGGCGGAACAGCAGGATGACCTGAGACCCAGGGCTCAGCATGCGCCTTCTCTGATGGGCCTCTCCTCTGCTTGTCCTGCAGGGCCTGCGTCAGCAGCGAAACCGAGAGTGAGGCTGGGGACATCATGGACCAGCACTTCGAAGAGATGAACAACAAACTTAACTCAGTGACCGACCCGACGGGCTTTCTGCGAATGGTTAGCCGCAACAACCTCTTTAACAGGTGTGTGCTTGCTTTCCAGTCCCGGTCCCCACTGGTGTGACAAGAATGTGCTTCCCTCAGGCTGAGTGGCACTGGTGTTTGCTCCTAAGCCCCCAGCCTGACAGGCAGACTTTTGTGACTGTCCTCACCTGGCTGGGACGAGAGGCCCAGGAGCTGTGTCTCAGTGCTGATGTCCTGCAGGTAGCTTGTGGCTTCAGTGGCCTGAGACTCCATGGGTCCCTCTGAGTGGAGATGCCAGCCCCGTTGGAAGGGAACTGAGACCCCACCCAGGCCCAACTCGCCTTTCTGCATCAGCCCCGTTTCCCTGTTCTTTCACCAACTAGGGCTTCAGGGATTTCAGATGAATAGGGTTGAATGTGCCTAACTAGCCCACCTTCATCTGGATCATGAGGGTGAGATCCAGGCTGGGTCCAGATAAATGAGGACGGGGGCAGCATTCCATCTGTCATTCGTTGTTACTTGGAAAATCTGGACATCACATTGTGGCAGTCCTCTCTAGAAAGACAATGCAGTCCCTGCCACAAGGCCAAGGACCTGCCCTCAGGAGGGAAGCAGGTTTGCACGACCTGCTGGGAGTGGGGGTGGGGTGAGGACAGCCTCTGCCTGGCAGCCCTACTGGAGATGCCACAGCAAGACTGGGGCCACGCTGCCCAACAGCACCACTGTATGCCATCTGCTCTGCCTCTTGTTTCGGTGCCCTCACAGTGACAAACATGCAGGAGCCGGATGGGAAGGGAGACCGGTCTGGGGACCAGGTTTCAGGAGGCCCAAGGATCAAGTCTGGTATTCTGTCCTGGCACTACCAGGAGGTATGCCATTACCATGACTGAACCAGAGAGCAGAGCAGTTTTGCAGGACCACCACCATCCCTGAGCCAGGACTGGTGCCCCTCCGTGTCTCTGGGGCAGTGCTGACCTTGAATTCAGCACATGAGATGTATGCGCCAGCGCTGCAGTCAGGAGCTGGGCCCAGGCAGTCCTCAGGAGCAAAGGGGGGGCCACGCCATGTGCCCTTGCGTTACTGGCTCAGGGCTGTTGTTGGGGTTGGCCTGAGTTTTCCATCCTGAGGCTGGCGGTTTAGGGAAATCAGTGCTTGTCCTTCTGAGCCCCTGTGGCTTGCCTGTGAGCATGATGATGTTGTTGTACCATTTCAACAGCACTGTCTGGGCCCTGTCAGCCTGGGCATCAGCCTGCTTGCTTCTGGCCTCGATGCGGGAGCTGCTCACTCAGAGGCTTAGGCAGTCAGAACACGGCAAGTCACGGTGCACACCAAGGCCAGCTCACATATCACAGAGGGCCATCCATCAGTCTATGAGTAGATGCCACAGCAAGACACGGGCCACACTGCCCAACAGCACCACCAGCATTGTCCTGCCCACCTCTTCCAGGGCTGCCCTGCCTGTTTTATGCCTTCAGTACTAGGGATCACACCTAAGACCAGTCCTGGCTTGGCGCAGAGCAGACTCCTGCACACTCCTTGTGTGGAATACATCCGAAGCACCTGCTCCCCGGAGCTGTAGAGGTGGGGTGCAAGCAGCCGAGAGCGGGACCTCTGCTCACTGGCGTGGCACTTGTCCCCTCTCCAGGGTCTCCTTGGTCCTTTTGTGCCTGAAACTTTGGCTAGGCTGGGCTGGGCTGGCAATGAGGCAAGTTTTCTCCTGCACCCCAGGAATTGGGCTTTGGGCTAACTGTGTTTGGGGAGGTCTCTGCAACTACTGGTTTTCTTCTTACCTGTGACCTTAGGCAGAAAACAGATTTGCATTCTCAGCCCAGGGCAAGTGCTATCCACAAATGAAAAGTTGTCATTGTTAAGCACTGTTGAGTTAATTCTAATTCATAACCCCCACCCCATAGGGTTTTGAGGAACCGCTGGTGAATTTGGGTTCAAACCAACCTTGTAGTCCAGTGCTTATCCTACATACAGCACTATACCAGGACTAGGAGCTCTTTTCTCATATAGTGTCCGGATCCTGGTTTGGCCCCCAGAGGATGTTCATGTTGGTTATTGCCCCTCCCTTTGGCTGTTCCTAAAGACACTATAAGGAACCCTGAGGGCACAGTGCTTCAGTGCTCAAATGCCAGCCAAAAGGTAGATGGTTCAGATACCCCCAGTGGCTCTGTGGAGAAAGATCTGGTCATCTGCTCTCCTAAAGATTGTTGATGTCGCTAAAGTGCCATCACGTCAGTTTCAACATGTAGCAACCCAGTGTTGAGGAGTGTGCTAGGCTGTCACTTTCCTGGGAGCTGATCAGCAAGTCTTTCTCCCATGGAGTTGCTGGGCAGCATCAAACCTTTCTGCTCGCAGCAGAGTGCTTAACCATTGCACCACCAGGGCTCTGTATAGCCTAGAAAAGCCCTATAGGTCAATTCTAGTCTGTCACATAGGGTCGCTTTGGGTCAAAAATCATCTAAACAGCACCTAACAATAGCAGCAGCAGAGACATCATGGTCACATTGTTAAGTGCTGTTGAGTCAGTTCCGATGCAAAGTGACCCTGTATAGGTGTATAGGGTTTCTGAGGAGCGACTGGTGAGTTTGTACCACAGACCTTGCTGTTTAAACCCACCTTGCAGTGCAGTGCTTTATCCTGCGGTGCCACACCAGGACCCCAGGGCTCCTTTTGTTGTTAAGTGCCATCGAGTTGTATAGGGTTTCCAAAGAGCAGTGGTGAGCTTGAACTGCCCACCTTGTAGTTCAAACGGCTTTGCAGTCTGGTACATTAACCCACAGCGCCACACCAGGACTCCTTTTAAAATTGAGGTAAGAGCCCACTCACAGGGACAATCCAACAGTTGGATCCCGGGCTCAGCTACATGGAAGAACTCGTTTGTCAATCCATTTAGTCTCCATTCTTGGTCTTGAAAGTCTGAGAAGTCCGTGTGTGTGAGGGGGGAGGTGCGGCACTACCGCTGTATGCAGCCCTTCCTTACCTGGAGTCTTGGGAAGCGTACAGAGCCGCAGTCTGTACGTGTACGCACGTGTGCGTCTGTGCGTGTGTACACGTGTGTACATGCTACCAGATCCAGCCCGGCAGCATGTGGTCTCCTGCAGCCCCGTCGTGGCCATAAACCCTCTACTGCCTTCAGGAGCGGTCTCTTCATCAAGGATGGGAGATCCACGAGCAGCGCAGGGCCCCCGGAACGTGAACTACAGCCCTGCTGGTGCCCGGCTAGCTCCGCACCTGCACCGCTGAGCTGCACATTCTAGCCAGGAAACCCATCTCTCCTTTTCCTGTCACTGCTCCGGCCGCTGTGTAATGGAGGAACCTTTCTCCAAAAGTAGATGAGTAAACATCAAATGAGGGACGTGCCATTAAAGCTGGCTCTATCTGAGCGCTCACTCCCCCAGAGCCCGGTCGCGTCCCTACATTAAAGTGACCCGTTAAAGGACAGTGAGCCAGCGCCACCTGCTGGCACCACATAGTAGTGCAGTCCTGCCTGCCTGAGGTGTAAACCCAGAGCCTTCTCCTCCTCCGGGACCCCCACCCCCACCACCGGGGAATGTGTAGTCTGTAGAGCTCATGCAATGCAAGTCTTAGCCCTCTTTGCCCCTCGGTTTCAGATCTTAAAGGACAAGCAGCTGCCTCCGCAGGTCTCTGAGGGTGTGAGGCGGTACCCAGGATGCTTTCGGTGCTCCTTGCCACCCATGTGGGGAGTGCCCAGCCCAAGAAGGGAACAATGCATGTGACAACTGTCCTGTGGTTCTACAGGCAGGAGGACAGCAGGAGCAGCCTGCCCCACAACCCAGGCCACACATATTGACTGCTGTGAGCCCTTCATCTAGGACCTGAACCCCTCAGCCACACTCTAATGAGGGGTTCCCCAGCAAGAGCCCTTCCGCTCCTGGCAGTGTGCTGGGGGTGCCCGTTATCCCAGACAGGTGATTGCACCTGAAGCTTCTCCCAACTCAGATGGACCCTGCACTTATACACATGAGGGCCGGTGGCTCAGGAGGGGCCTTGGGGCTGTGGGGTCCTGGCACTCCGCCAGCAGTTGACAGAGCCACTAGCTTTAATAGCTTGCCAGAGTCTTTTACTTTGAAAGGATGTTTTATTTTTGAAAAGATGAGACCTATGAGAACTTCAGCCCTACCTCTTCGATTTACACACGAGGAAAAGAGCAGTCCCTAGGTGGTGCAAAATGAAAGGTTGGAGGTCAAGGCTACCCAGAGGTACCTTGGAAGACTGTCCTGGCAGTCTCCTCCCAAAAAATCAGCCATCAACAATCCACTAGCATACAGTTGTATGCTGTCAAACATGGGACCACCATGAGGCAGGATGGACTCTACAGCAACTGGGTTTTTGGTGCTTTTTAAGAAGTGCCCTGCCTTACCCAGAGTCACATAGCCAGTTGATGACACAGGTGGCCTGCTGACACTGTCACATCATCTGCACACACTCCTCTGGGGACAGCTGCCCTTCCCTGAATGGACATGCAGGTCAGTGGTTTGTCCTGACCAGTGCTGAGGCCCCTGTGGCCAGGCCTCAGGCACCCCCCAGGCTGGCCTGGGCTCAGTGCCCAGCAGCCTGGTGGCCAGGGAGGGAGAGGCTAGTGCACAGCAGATGGGGCACAAGTGGGTATGACAGCCGGGAGAGCAGGACCAAAGCCTCCATGTTGATCTCATCCAGGTCTGGACACTGGGCCGTGAACGCTAACTCTGCATGCCCTGGGTGCCTTGCCCTCCCTTCCGCACCACCTGGAAACATGCCCAGAGGCCAGAGAGGGTCTCCCAGGATACCTCTGCAAAATGAAAAGTTTCCTTGAAAGGTTGCCAGGAACCCTGGTGGCATAGTGGGTTTAGTGTTGGACTGCCAACCAAAAGAGTTCAGCAGTTTGAACCCACCAGCTGTTCCTTGGGATAAAGATGATGCTGGCTGCTCCTATCAAGACTAACAGCCTTGGAAACCCTGTACAGGGTCACTATGAGTTGGGTTTGCAGTTTGTTTGTTTGGTCAAGACACTAGATGCCCCTCAGTTATGGAGTCAGGGTGTCTAATGGAGGCTGCTCTGACTAGCCCAGCCTTGGGACCCCCTTACCTTCCCCAGTTAGCCTGAAGGCAAGCCTGACTGCCTAAGGAGGCCCTTGGGCCAGCTCCCACCTGACACACACAGCCGCAGACCCTCCTGATCCTCTTACAGCCCCAGCCTGGCTCTGTGACTTCTGTCTACCCCCTCACACAGAGCCCCAATGCTCCAGTGTTGTGCCCTCCCCACCAGTAGGCTGCCTCCAAATCGTCCCTGGGTGCCTGGCTCACATGATGCTTCTCCAAGCACCTGACCACAGGCTGGAATCCCTGCCTCATGCCACGGTGGGAGCTCTTCTCTGTATCATGATCCAGTTCGAGGACCCATGGTGAACCCCTCTGGGGACCTACCCTGCCTGGCACCATGTATGGAGTGGGTTTGCCTGGTGGGCCCTTTGGGTTCCTGGGACCTTTTACGCAGGTGCCAAATGCCTTCAGCACTTGGGCTGTGAGAATGTTTCCAGAAAACTATAAGCATCAATTTTCCAGCTGATGGTTGACTTTTGAACTTTTTCTTGGTCGTCAATTGAGGATGTTTCCATTCCATACTCTGCCATTTACTCTCAGGCTCATAGTGATGAATCCGTGTCTCGTCACCAGTGATGATTTTTTTAAAAGAAACGTTTACCTTCCTTCGAGTATCGGTCCAAATTTTGTTTTCAGAAATCCAAACACTTCTGCTCTTCCATGAGCTGTTTGGGTACCCATCATCTCACACACACTTTTTGAAGCCCTAGTCTGTTGTGGATTATTTCATAGGCAAAGCCAAGGCTGATTTGCACACAAATTCACTGTCACTCATTTATTCAGCAGAATCATTTCACGTGCACGCTCATTGTTGTCATCAGACGTGGATGTGGACGGCTGTTTATTTAATATAACTGGAGTGCGGATGGTTTTTGACTCACCTTTGTATATCACATCATTGGATGACTGACACTGATAGTAAACATGACTAGGGATTCTGGAGGAGCCATATGGAAGGTAGAAAACAACTCTAGTGAGACCCTGTGTTTCAGGACCCCGCTCCGCAGGGCACTTGGCTCGTCTGGAGAGGGCTGTGCTTCAGGCCCGCTGGAGGAGCTCCCGGGGTCTTCTCTGGACCACAGAGACAGGAAGCCCCCTGGAGCTGGAGCCTCTTTCTCCTGTTCAGAGTCAGAGCTTTGGGTTTGTGCTGCACCCCACCCATCACCATGGGTGGAAATGCAGCCTCAGACTTGTCTGGGGACACCCCCAGGGGTTCCTGAGACCCCCTCTTGTATTCAATGTCTGTCTGCATCGCGGCTGTCTGCAGGGCACAGACAGCGGGGACAGACCCGCCTGTCCTGCCAGTGGCTGCTCCGGACAGGGTTCCTCTGCAAGAACACGGCACTTCCCAGCATGTCCTGTGGAACTGAGTGAGCCTCGGAGGCTCTCTCAGGGGTCTCTGAACTTTGGTTATATTGTGGCCCCTGATTTCTGGTGATTGCCAGTATTTCTGGATCGAGGAGGTCTCTGGACAGTTCTCTAGGACCTAGGTTGTGTGGAGCACTGCAGAGAACAAGGGGCAGAGAGAGCCAGGTGAAGAGGCCATGCCAGAAAGCACACATGATCATTATTCTTGGCGGCCATATATCCTGGATCGACCTAGGAAAGGAAGCTGACCTCTGGATTTCTCTTAGCCGACACTCAGTTGCTGCCTGTGCAGGATGCCTGGTGTCTGGTGTGAGGAACCTGGGATGCGGGGCAGAAACGCTAAAATGATGTGCAGAGTCTCCATGAAGGTCTAGAGAGCCTTGATTGTTGTATAGTTGTTCAAAGCACATCACAAGGCAACTATGCTGAGACAACAGCCTATAGGCTCTTTTCTGTTCACCTTTGCATTTTGTCCTCTGAAGAGCCCCAGGGCCTGGTAGACCCATGGGTGCTCAGGGAACTTGTTTTTTAATGAATGAGTGAATGAATGAATGTTCTTATCCTGTTGGGAGTGTGAAACTTGGGGTCTCTGGGGTTGAAAATACTCTGTGTACTAGTAAAATGATATGGACTGACATAGTGGTGCAACACTGGGCTCCAACATAACAACTGTGAAGACAGGACAGAACCAGGCAGTGTCTGTCCTATTATACGTAGGGTCACTTTGAGTTGGAACCAACTCAACAACATCTAACAACTACTAATAAAATGTTCCCTGGAGATGATGGAGCAACAAGCCAGCCACATTGGAGTGGACCACTCTGCAGGCGCTGTCTAGCCAGCGGCCCCCAGTGACACCATCTTGCACCTCTGTGGAGGGGGCGGGCTGCAGGGTCTCAGGCAGGTATCCATTGGTGGACCCAAGCCTGAGGTTAGGACCAACATGCTTCATGTGTTGTCTGGCTTTCCTCATGGGAACCCTGTGGGCACAATGGGTTTAAGTATTGGGCTTTTTACCCAAAGGTCAGCGGTTCAAACCCACCAGCCACTCCAAAGCAGAAAGATGAGGCTGTGTGCTTCCATATGAGTTACAATCTCCAACCCCATGGGGCGGTTCTGCTCTGTCCTGTGGGGCCGATGGCAGTGGGTTTGGTCTGGACACTTCTTCTTGAGCCCGGTGAGGCTATGCTGATAGCTGGTGGCCCTCACTCCACATGGGTATAACTGAACCCTCTGGGCAGCACGTTGGGACACTGCTGTGATGACTGTGATTCACCCTCTCCCCAGGAGCTGCCAGAGCATGACCAGCCTGTTCAGTAATTCGGTGTCACCCATCAAGGACGGGACCTCCTCTCTTCCCAGGAGGCAAAGCTCGTTCGCCAAGCCCCCTCTCCGTGCTCTGTACGACCTGCTCATCGCGCCAATGGAAGGGGTAAGTGCCTCCAAGTCAGCACGGGCATCTCAGTGTCAGAGCCCACGTGTGTCCTCCTTAGACCTGTAGCTGGACTCCTGAGACAGTGATCCTGCTGGGCTGTGGGTAGCAGGCGAGCTCTGAGCTCCCACGTCATGGCCCTGCAGGCTGAGTCTGGCCCTGCTGCCCACCTCCCATAATCTCACCTCTGCCATCCCCAGAAAGCCTTGAACAGGTCCCAGCTCCCTTCCTGCCCACCTCTGACGTGGTCAGAGTCACAGACGTCACCATGCAGAGCGTGGCAGTGCCAGGCTACGGGCAGAGCCCCGCCCAGGTCTCCCAACCCACAGCTGGCAGAGGTCTGGGACACAGTGACACACAACGGAGTTTGTGGGTTTGCATTTGATTTTGGGGTCCAGTTTGAGGCAGAAAGTGGAAGATAACAGCAAGAAACCAGGGACTAGATGCCTTGGGACCCTCTGTGTCCAGCCTAGAGCTGCTTCTGAGCAGCTCAAGCTGCAGGCAAATGCTGGGCAAACTGTCCCCTGTCAAACCACATGTTGCTAATAGGACCCAGAGCCCAGTGTCCAGGCTGGAGGTGATGACTGCACATGCTGGGTGGAAAAGGAAGCTGGGGTGAGGAGGGACACCTGTCCTCCTTGAAGGGGACTCTATAGTTTCAGTAGGTGTGCATTCCTGGGCCCCTCCGCTGTGACTTAAAGACTAAAGATTGGCTAAGGAGTCAGTGGTGGCTGTGGCTGGACAGTCTTCAGGGAGCCTGGAAGGGGAAGGTCCGTGGACTCAAGCTTTAAACATGTCAGAAATTAGCCAAAATACTGACTTTATACAGCTAAGGTGCCCTGATAGCATAGCGGGTTATGTGCTGGTCAGTAGTTTGAATCTACCAGCTGCTCTTGGGAGAAAAATGAGGCTTTCTGTTCCTGTAAAGATTTACAGCCTCAGAAACCCTATACTACAAGGGTTGCTGAGTCAGAACCGACTCCACGACACACCACCCACAGCAACAACCCCCACCATACAAATAACTAGGGCATGGGAGACCACCCTCTACAACTGTACGTGTCCCCCAAGATGCCATTGGAGCAAACACAGCAGAACCCTAAAACTGGCCCAGTCTAGAAGTGATGGCGATGCATTCAGTTCAAAGACACAGCCTTGGCTCCAGTATTTAGAAGGACCTCTTTTCCAAATCATGTGTTTGAATTCAGGGTCCAGTGAGATGTAGACTGAGGTTGCTTAGCCAACTCGCCCTTGTGTTTCAGTAAGAACCGTGAACTGATGGAATCTGATCAGAGACCCGCCCAACCCCCAATGTCATCCACTCACCCAGCCAGTGTGCCAGGTAGCCTGGCCCCAGCAGGGTTGGGGGGGGGGGGGGCGGCTCAGCCGAGAAGTTGGTGATGGCCTAACACTGTCCTGCTGGCTGGCAGGCTATGCTGGCTGAATGGGGGTCGGGTGGGTGGCGGAGCCATACCCCTTTCCCCGGGCTGCAGAGTGAGGCAGGTGCTGGTCCAGTGGAGAAGGAACATGGTGGCTGCTAGAGGGCGACACCCTAGTGTCAGCTGCCAGCCCTTCTCCATGTTTCATGGGAATCCAGATCTAGACCAAACATCCCGAATCTGAGCCACTGACACCTTAAGATAAATGTGATTGGCCTAGTCACAGGGGGCTTTTCATTGTTTGAACAAATGCCGCTGGTTAGCCACAGTCCTTGCATGGGATGAGGTCAGGTAGCATGGAAAGTGGCGCAGCAGGATGTTCCCCAGAGGCCTGGCACGGGTATGTGATTTAATTTGACTGTGGAGGCCCGGCCCGGCTCTTCCCCGCAGCCCCTGTCCTTTGCTGTCAGGATGAAGTGAGATGCCCAGTCATCTGAGGAGCGCCCCATTCCATCTGCATATGAGCCATCGTCAAACATTATATCCAGCCCTGTCTGATCCCCGAGGGAGAAATATTATCCAAGGAAAGTGGCACATGAGATCCCTCAGGAGCACCAGAGCAGGGACTCCCAAGTCCTGTTGCCTGGGCATGGTGGGCTGGCTGGAGGGGGAACTGCTTACTCCAGACCCCTTAGTGTGCCGACGATGACTGGCTCGGAATCCAAGTTGTTATAATCAAGAAAATCCCTTAAGGTGTGGCGAGGTCCTTCAAGGCCCAGGTGTGGAGACTTAGCACAATCCCTGGCCTGCACACATGCCCTGGTCATAGCGTCTCGGGTCCTTGTCTTTGTTTCTGTTGATTGAAATTCCCTGCTCCCCATATGTGTAGTTTTCAGCAAGTGAGAGTGACAAGCAGCCGAGGTACCAGGTGAAGAGGCAAGACTACAGACAGCTTAAAGTTGACATCAGTGAGGTTGATGAGCTTCCCCCACTGGAACTTGGGGAATTTACCTGAAACAACTTCTAGAGCTCGGCTAAGGGTGATGACAGCTTGGCTTGCAGCTGGACCGTAATTACTGCTGGGGACAGTGAGCTCCCATGGTGTCACCCAATTCAGTAGCATCACATAGATAGACTAGAGCAGCTATCCTCCAAGCCAAGCACTGTCTTAGGAGACAATCCTGGAATATTTATCCCCAAGAGACGGCAGGCCTGGTCCTAGGGCACAGTTTTGAGGAGCAGGCCCTTGTAGCTGGTGGTGACCAGGCTGGCTAACTGATTTCCGATTGTGGCATCTGTTGTTGTGTGCCATTGGGTCAGTTCTGACCCATAGTGACCTTGTATAGAGTTTCCAAGGAGCAGCTGGTGAGCTTGAACCACTGACCTTGCGGTTCAAAGCGACTTTGCAGTCCAGCACATTAACCCACAGCACCACACCTGAGGACACACATTACTCAGAATAACAAGCATTTCCACACTGGTTAAGAGGAAGAAGAACAGTGACAGTCCCTTGCAAGCTATCTGTAGCACCAAACCCAATGGTGGAGTACATGAGGGTCCACCATCTGCCATGAGCACTGGGTCCCTGCTGTTGGGTGAGTTTCAACTGGTTCTGTTCTAGCTGATATTCCATGAGCATGTCTCCCATTACAGAGGGCTGTGGGGCACATTTCCTGGCCAATCAAGTTCAAGGGACCCCTCCCACTTGCAGCAGCTGTGGCTGAGGTGGGTGGGACATGGGTCTGCTGTTTGGTGAGTCAACGAACACACTCGAATGGACTGAATGTTTAATTTTCTCTTTCTGGTTGGTAAGTTTGAGTCCTCATTTGAGGGTTGTTACCAATAGATTGATATTTGTACCACCCATCGCTCACTTGGTTATACTGTGATGGCTTGTGTGTTGCTGTGATGCTGGAAGGCATGCATGCCACTAGCATCTGAAATACCAGCACAGATTTCAGCAGAGCTTCTAGACAAAGACACTAGGAAGAAAGGCCTGGGGATCTATTTCTAAAAATCAGTCATTGAAAACCCTATGGATTCCAACTGAACATTGTCTGATAGAATGCTGGGCAATGATCCCTGGAGGCTGGAGGACTGTCAGAATACATAGTGGCAGTACCCCAGGGATGGTGAGGGTGGCCCAGGAGCACCCAGCAATGATGAGGATAACTCAGGGGCAAGAGTACCCAGCGATGATGAGGATGATTCAGGCAGGAGCACCCAGTGATGGGTCTGTCATTTTGTCGTACTGTGGTAGCTTGTGAGTGGCTGTGATTCTGGAAGCTATGCCACTGGTATTTTAAATACCAGTAGGGTCATCCATGGTGGACAGGTTTCAGATGAGCTTCCAGACAAAGACAGGCTAGGAAGAAGGAGTGATGAACTACTTCCAAATATTTATTCACTGAAAACTTTATGAATAGCAAAGAAATACTGTCAGATATAGTGCCGGAAAATAAGCCCAAATTGCAACTGGGGAAGTACAATTGACCGTGATGACGCAAATGGAGTAAAGCCCATGGGAATAAAGCCCGTGGGACTTTTCATTTGCTGATGGGCACAACTCAAAATGAAGAGGAATACCTGTAAACATCCATTAATGGGAGCATGGAAAGTATGAAGTATGAATCTAAGAAAATTAAAAATTGTCAAAAATCAAATGGAATGCATAAACATTGATATCTTAGGCATTAGTGAGCTATAATAGACTGGTATTGGCCTTTTTTAATCTGACAACCACATGGTTTACTATGCCAGGAATGACAAATTGAAGAGGAATGGTGTTGCATTCATTGTCAAAGAGAACATATCCAGATCAATTATAAGGTACCACACTGTCTGTGATAGGATAACATCCATGTGCCTACAGGGAAGACCAGTTAATAACACTATTATTCAAATTTACGCACCAACCACTAAAGCCAGTGAGGATGAAACAGAAGAATTCTACCAACTTCTTCAATCTGAAATTGATCAAACATGCAATCAAGATTTATTGATCATTACTGGTGATTAGAATGTTGGGAACAAAGAGGAAGGAAGGATCAGTAGTTGAAAAACGTGGCCTTGGTGATAGAAATGTTCCTGGAGATCACATGATAGAATTCTGCAAAATCAATGATTTATTCATTTCAAATACCTTCTTTAGACAGCATAAGAGATGATTATACACATGGACCTCACCAGATGGAATACACAGAAACCAAACTGACTACATCTACAGAAAGAGACAATGGAAAAACTCCATATTATCAGACAAAACAAGGCCAGGGGCAGACTGTGGAACAGACAGACCATCAATTACTCATATGCAAATTCAAACTGAAGCTGAAGAAAATGAAAACAAGTCACGAGCACCAAAATACAACCTTGAATATATCCCACCTGAATTTAGAGATCATCTGAAGAACAGATTTGATACATTAAACATTAAAGAATGAAGACCAGAAGAGTTGTGGGATGGCATCAAGAAGATCATACATAAGAAAGCAAAAAGTCATTAAGAAGATAAGAAGGAAGGAAAAGATCAAAATGGATGTCAGAAGAGACACTGAAACTTGCTCTCCAGCGTAGAGATGCTAAAGCAAATGAATGAAATGAGGAGGTACAAGAGCTGAA